CGCCAATAAAGACATTTAAACTTGTTTTTTCGCCCTTAAAATATGTGTTCTTTTTTGCTCAAGGTGAAACAGTCGTCGCATCCTTTTTTAGATTTTTCTCACCTCCTATAAATGCCGCTTAATTTTGAATAGGAAGCAAACGACGACCGGAAACCCAGCTTTCTATTTAGAGCGTTTTGAACCCGTTCCAGGCAGTTTTCGACTATTGAAATGGTACCAGAATGAAAAAAAATCGTGCTTTTGAGCGCTGTAGATCTTTTTTCAGCGTTGTTTAAGCCATCCAAGCGAGCAACTCATTTTTCAAGGATTCCTGAGCTCGAAAAACACGTGACGCTCTCGGGGTATCATTAATGCGTGCGCGACCGACCCAATAGTTTCAGGATCCCCATAAACTTTTTGAACAGTTTGTAATCGTCTTAAAACGTAAATTGTCATCGTGAACGCTTCAAAAATTGCGTCGGCCTTAGCTGCTTAGATTATTTGATTACTGCGAACCCTCGGTATGCTCTGTATCGGTATGGGCTCGTGAACATCGGGAGTTAAGGGTCCTAAGAGTCAAGGTGCTCATCCCTTTCGCGCTTTACCCCCTTCCCCAACACCTCTATCAACTCGTTTTTTTGCATACTTAAACACCTTGGCGGTGGGGGACAAGATGGGTTGGTTGGCAATAGAACAGCTGTTCCAACACAACTTTCCACGATCCAGCCCTCTGGCCTCGCCCCAAGCTCGATCCCGATTCCAAGGCCATTCGGTGGTTCTTTTCGGCCTGGTGGTGGTGGTGTCCTCGGGCGAAAAAGAGGAGGGTCGTTTCATGGTATGTCCATCTCTTTTTGGCAAGCCACACCCCCAGACCGGGTGGTCTAGGGGCACCACGCCCAGACGCCAACTTCAAAACGGAGCATGAGCTTTAGCGAGATATTTTATTGCAAGTTGATAACTTTATTTATTCTTTTACACATTGCTCAAACCGGAAAATGTAATATTTTTACTAAGCTTTTTTTTTGCTTCTTAAACTCTAAAAATTGGTTTTTTTAATGGTAATGTAAACCTAGGTGATTTTTAGCAATTTGACGAGTTTTTGCTAATCTCTCTTTTTTCTAAAAAATTACGGTTATTCAAAAATTATTGCCCCTCAACTTCAAAATCTGCCCCCCTCCGGCGCTCGGCTGAGTGCCAGCTGGCGATCTGTCACTTTTCACTAAAAATCGGGCCGCGCACGGGATTTTCCGTTTCAGTCTGTTTGCCTTGAATTGTGGAAAGGGCGTTTTTATACCTTAGCAGCCCGTTAAGGGAAAACATTTTAGATTTTAAATTTTTTTGGATTTGTCAGAAACTCAAGGTTCATCCTGGATTCACTCTATCTCTCTCTCTCTCTCTCTCTCTCTCTCTCTCTTTCTCTCTCTCTCTCTCCTCAATTACCAAAATAACTTATGGTGTCTTATTTGACCCTCGTTCTCCTTATTCTTTTGCCTTGCTTCCACTTGCCCTAGCCAATTTCCTCGGCCCCCGATAATTCCCCGCCATAAAATGTGCAACGAACAATAGCAACAATATGGTCTCACTGGATTAATGACCGGAGATGGCCGTGCGTAGAGGTGGATCGGAAGGTCAAGGAAGAACTTTCTTTGAGTCGTTAAAAGTACTTGGAAGGCAAGTCTACTCAAAAATTCCCAAAAACCAGCTTTCTCGGATTAGAATTTCTTACGAACCTTTTTGTGTATTTATAGATGCTTTCTATAGCTTATGATTGATCCATTCCTTTCTTAATCCTCGCGATCCTCATTTTGTCATCCTATTTTGGCATGTTTTGCCTGAGGCGATCAATTCCGGAGGCAACACTTGACACCTGGACACCACTACTATTGTGCATGGATCAAGCTCACTTCTCACCCCATTCACACCTTGACGAACTTTCTAGAGAAAACGCAACAGGTTAGGAGGAAAACTATACAACGCCCTTCTCTGATCCTGAAAGAGCGCCACGTGGGAAGCCCTAGAACGCCTGTCCTTATGCCCAAAATTGGCCAAATCTAGCTGGCCGCCGGGGCGGTGTTCGTAGGGTTTCTTCGGAAAAGTGCATGGGGGATAACCATAGATTTTCATATAAAAATGCCTTGAAATTTTCTTCAAAATTTAACGATTAAAAAATTTTATTTTTTGCGATTGGAATAAATTAACGATCTACCTTTCGACCGCCGAAAAGAGAAAAGCAGAAAGTCGTTTTTAGCTTCAAAACCCTCTATTTTTGACTCAAGGGAGCAACCCGTAATTTCAGCTTGGCATTTCGGTGCAATGGGGAGCATCCCGGATTTGAAATTACAGGGTTTGCTTGGGCAAAAAATTGGTTCAAAACTAGGCTAGCGGCGTTATTTGGCGAGGTATGTAGAATAGCTATGACCCTCCGATTAGTAGTTTGCGATTGATCAAACTATTTATAAGGGTCTATTTGGCTTAATGGTATCCGCCATGGTATTCATTATGCTGTGCGACCTCTAAACGGTTCATTCAGGTCTAACAATCCCGTGAATCACGTTCCCATTTCCCGCACCATCCAGGTGCACGCTCACTTTTTCCATTACGCACCAAAATACTCTCGCTTACCCTCCGGTAACTTTTTGCCGAGGTGGGCAAAAAGACTTTGCGGTCACGGGGATGGGGCGCGCAGTAAAGTGTGGACCCGCCCCTGTGGTGCCCTCCTCGCCTCGGGACCTGCCCCACCCATCCCCGTTTATGCTGATTTTTACGCACATCCATCACCGCTTCGTAACCCCAGTGGCCTGTAGAGAGCGCCAACTGTTTTCCGGCCTCCGGATCGGGCCGCAATTTGCCGGTGGCATTTGGCCACTTGCCCTAGCTATTATTTTGTAATTATTGATGAGTAGTCACAATACGTGGAGTTTAAAGGGACGTGCAAGCCTCTTTCTAGGGTTTTGGGCTTTTTGAAGGAATTTGGAAGACTGGAATATATCTCCGCTCTATGCACAAAGGATACCTCTAGCTGAGGCGGTTCTCTCTCTCCCCCTCTCTCTCGCCCTATCTCTCGCTCTCGTCCTCTCTATCGCTTGCTAGCTATCTCTATTTCTCTATCTCTTGCTTGCTTTCTCTCTCTCTCTCTTTCTCTCTCTCTCTCTCTCTCTCTCCTTTCCAGGTATCACCAAAAAATTCGGCGCTCTTTCTGCACCACTTATTAGTCGCATGAAATCCCAAACCCCTAGCAGCAGCTCTGCAAAACTCGCGCTCCCAGCATGCTTTCAGTCAACATACCCCACTGCATAGAGGGTACCAAACCCGGGTTCGGTTTCACCCCTGCTCACTTCTTCTTGTTCTCCTTATTCTTGTTCTCCCGGCTCATTCCGGTGTACCCCTACTGGCCTTATTTGTTTTTCGTTCCTGCACCCTTGTCCCGGGCGCCGGCCATCCCATCCGGTATCCCGCCCCGAATAGTGCAAGCCTCCCATGGGGTGAAGTGCCGCTCGAGCACCCGCGGTCTTCTTTTGTTCACGCTAATTCGAGGGTCAGTGCCGATTATTGGAAGGCGCTTGATGATGATTATTCGCATTTTTGAGGGCGCAAAGTATTGGCTGACCAGCGCCAGAACTTCATTGCATTAAAGGTGGTCACAAGCTTCGGAACCTGGGGCTTATTTACATGAAAAAGTGAATTTAATAAGAATTCAAGAAAAAATTTACTTCTAGTTTTGTTTGTTTTGATCTATAGCCCTCTTCATTTACACCCTCTCTCTCTCCCCCTCTCTCACTCTCTCGCACACTCTCACTTTCTCTCATCCTCGCGCTCTCGACCTCCCTCATGATCAGCATTTCTAATTAACCTTTCAAATTTCATTGATCGATCGTCGACTGTGAATTTCCAGGATTTTCTAGTTTTCCATCTCTCTCACTCTCTTTCTCTGGCTGTTTCTCTTGATTTTAGTGTGTTTTCGGTTTTCTAGTTCTTATGGTTTTTGATGCCTGTTTTTTTTACTCGGACCTTTTTACTACAACTCCGCAACATCCCCGCTTTATCAAATCACCAATTCAAATGCCCGTGCTCAACGACCCCAGTCATTTTCCGAGCTTCACCTCTCTTCCCCCCCTGGCCCTCGATGCCAATTAGGGTAATAGTCCCAAGCCGAAGAGCCCTTTGTCGCATTGTCCCCAGCTTCCCCCAGCTTTTCCGGTCCGGCTTTCCGGCCGTTCCAGCTACCCGGCCGTGTATATTGTGGGTCCGTCAGGAAGTGCCTAATTTGATCTTGATGCTCGTCTCCTGAGTCTTGGGGCCTGCCTTTTTAGGTGGGGGCCCCCTAGGAGGCTTGATTGGCGGACACCCCAAATTCGCACACACATGCGCGAACACCCCGAGAGGAATAGGGGTGTAGAAGCAAAAGAGCAAGAGCAAAAGAGCAAGAGCCCCGAGAAATTGAGGCCGATGCCCCTGAGGGCAGGGCAGCTGTATACCCATATCTTTTCGGAGGCAGGGGGGAGAGTAGATGAACACGCGGGATGGATTGAAAGTGGATTTTTGCTGGATGGCAATGTTGCGTTACTTGACGGGCTTGAAATTGTCTCCGGAATTTCGAATTCCGCGGTTTTTTGGGATTTTGCAAGCCGCCAGCCAGAGGGTGAGCGAGAGAGAGGCAGAGAGACCGAGCCAGTGAGAGAGAGGCAGCCTTTCGACTTCCCCCAAATTCATCAATTCCTATTAAGTTTGAAAGCGGAATTCTGGAGAATTGTCCAATTTGAACTTGAACCTATTCCAGCAAATTTCAGTCGCTACAGCATTTAATTATTAGAATAAAAATATTAGTCATAAGGTGAGAAATTCAATGATTTTCCAAAAACCATGTGTAAAGTTTGTAAATTTTTTAGATTTCTAGTTCCTGAAAATTCGCACTTTTTTCTCTTTAAGTATCATGTTTCAATATTGCGTGTGTCCTTGTTTTCCGCGCGATTTCTTGTTTTCGAATTTTTTTTTGAATAGCAAAGTGAATTTTCAAAATTTAGATGCGACGACTACAATTATTATCCCTACTACTGTGTTTAATTCCGTACCTCTCCGCCTTCACAGTAATCCCTTACATCCAAATCGACTACGCCCACTATTTTCGGTTAGCCCAATGTGAGGCAAAGTGCTCGGAAAAGGTACAAAAAAAACTTAATTCTTTAAAAAATACGAATTTAGTACGGCACCCTATCACGGAAAGTTCTTAACGATGGCACAATTCACGAATTTTTCAACGTCAGTGGGAATGAAGTGAAACATGTACGATTTAATTGTTTGTATTTAATGATATTCTTTTTCTAGTGCGAGATGGGCTGCCAGCAGAATCGTAGAATGAAAAAGCTATCAAAGCCTTCAAAAGAAGCACTCGACGACGGCATGAAGTTTTGGCAAGCCTCGCCGGCAAGCACCGGTATGCCGAGTTTTAAAAGTCGAAGTACACCTACCCTAGAAAAAATTGGATCAAGCCCTATCCTGAGCGTCGATCTGCTGTGTCAAACACCTGCTTCGATGGATTCCGATTTTGATGAGACGATTACAGGTTTGAGAAAGTCTTGAAATCTTGAATGATTTTTTTCAGGCCGACTTGGTTTGGAGCTGAAGCGGGGATCTGTGTCTCCAACTCGGTATATCGTCCAGTGGAAACAGCGGACGAAGGAGTCGAAGACGCACGATGAGACGCAGTGGATCACGGCTTCGGTAGGTATCTGATAGTTTATTAAGCTTTGTTTCTCACTCTTTTTCACTCTTTCTTCCCCTATCTCTCTCTATCTCTATCTCTCTCTCCCTCTCTCACTTCTCTCTCTCTCTTTCGCTCTTTGAGAAGGTATCATTTTAGGTGGAGCACGAGCCCATCGTCAACGTCGAAGGGATGCTGTCCGGCCTCCTCTACCGCTTCCAAGTCACCGCCATTGGCCCCAGTGGACGCCTTGGAGACGCCGTCACCAGTGACTGGATCGCGGCAACAAACTCGAAAACCGAGATTCCGCCCTTTGGTGGGTTTAATATCTTAAGAAGACGTCGAAACTTTCGTGATCGAGCGTTAATTACTATAAAAAATTAAAAACACCAAAACCAATATCAAGAGTAATTTTTCAGATGGCCTCCTCATCGCCAAAAATGGCTACGATTCAGACCATGGTGTCAATACGTTGATTACCTGGCCAAAGTCAAGCGAAAATTCGTGCGGATACAGGATTACGTACAGGTATGGGAAGATAAAAAGCGTTCATTAAGAGCTTTTAGCAACTCCACGCACATCACCACCAAGGACAGCGAAGTCGATTCCTCCGCTGGGATCCTGTTGACAAATCTAGAATTCGATGCCGCTTACACTGTCCAGGTAGGGATTTTATCATTAAAGGTATAAAAATTTTTAGATCCGATCACTGGGAGCAAAGTTGGACGATTCGATCGTGTCGCTGCCGATTTCTAGCTCCTTCAAAACATTTTCGTGTAGTCAAATACATGGAAGGGGCAGCATCAATTGTCGTAGGTTTTTAAGGACCTTTTAAGGAATACCTCACTGAATTGTGGAATAGCTGGATAGCTATAAAAAAAATCGAGAAACCGTTTGATTTCAGCGCCCGAGCCGGTGGACGAGTTCAAGGTGGAAGTCCATGTGAATGGGACCGTCAACCTTTCCTGGAGGCCGATCGCCGGTGTCGATAATATCCTGACTTACCGGATCGAATATTACGCACAGGAAAATGAGCCGAAATGCGATTCGATGACCAGGACGATTTATTTAAAAGCGGTGAGTAGACGATCTTAATTCTTGCCGAGTTTTAATAAAGGATGCTAGTATAAAAAATAGCAATGTATTCTAAGTATTAAGGTATCTTAGGAGTCAATTTTTACTGCAGTTTATGGTATAATCTTTAAGTTTTAGGCGGCCGATACTGCGACCATTTCCGTCGATCCGGGCTGCCGCTACACCGTTAAACTCACAAATTTCGACCTAATCGGGCGCGAAGCGGCGATAGAAAGAGAATTTTCCGTCAATTTGAGCAGACCCCTCCTCTCTTTCCCCCTAAATTGGCAAATCCTCCTCACCATATTCCTCTTCTGCTTGGTTCTATTTGTGATTTGCCTCCTAAAATGCACCCTATCGGCCCGATGCCGACAAAAGGTCAACGAGAAAAAGAATAAGCTCGTTGGCGAGTTTGCGTAAGTATTTGTTTTGGAAGAACTAATGGTGTCGAAGAGTAACTTTAGAAAATTGCTGGAAGAATCTTCTTTTTCGATACCTTTAATACCATTTTTTCTGATTCTAATCAGTGTACATTACGGGTCCTTTGTATGTATTATGTTGTTTTGGCGCGTGCTGTCCAGTTCTTGCTGCTCGTTTCCCCCAGGCCTTCTCATTTGTCGGGTATGGATCCACCTCAATCCACAGAATTTTATGAATAAACTTAAATACTTAGGGATTATCGTAATACACAGAAACATTAAATTACGCAGAATAAATAGCACACCTTTATTTTTAAATTAAAGCGACAGACGCGAGATCGACCCCCCTTGACTGGGTGTCGACAGATACGAAACAGACCAAATGACGCACCGGAAAATCGTTCTCCTGCCAATAGGACTGACAAAGCGGCGCAAAAAATCATATCCGGTAAGGCGCCATTTGGAGCAGCGCGTAGTTGTCGATACCCCGTCGCTGGAAGAGGAAGATATGGACGATTCCTAGTCCCTTTAATTTATAAAAACTTTCATTCATAGAAGAATTCAAATGAAATTCTACAATTAATGATAGAACATGAAATTTAAAGCATAGCAAAATCTCAATTTTTCGTCAATTTCAAAATCAACATTTTGTGCTTTTTCGAATGCTAAAAGTGCAAGCCCACTTTTGACCCAGCCCAAAATTACAAAATCCCCGAAATCAATGCGCTATCTCATCGCCAGAAGAACTCCACGGTCTCTCTCTCTCTCTCTCTCTCTCTCTCTTTTTTTTTCCTCTCTCTCTCTCTCTCTCTTTTTTTTTTCCTCACAGAGGCCAGAAAAATCAGAAGCGCAAGATAAGAACGAGGGGGTCTAGCCGGGCCCGAAAATTGGTTCTTTCAACTCGCTCATCCCAACATTTTCAATCCCGATTTGCCTGTCTAGGGGCCCCCGAAACTAATGATGCTATAATTTTTCAGTAAAATCAAACCCGGGATGGACGGCAAGTCTACCGAGCAGCTGTGGATCCCGGATCCGGATCTGGAGCAGTATTCGAAGGATCAGAGGAAGAAGAGGTTTTTCAAGGATTGTAGTCTATGGCTTGGATTTTAGGGCTTCCCGGTTTTTCCAGGTCGTCATCGGTACCGTATTGGCCGGATGTGTGCTGTATTACTTGATGGCAGTGTGAGTGGTCGGAGTATATTTCATAAAGATTCATTGAATTTATAGGATAGCTCCGGTATTTAAAAAAGTTACGATTAACAGGGCAAATTCCAAAAGTTGATCCATGGTACGGTAGGCTATTGCGAAAAGATGGAATGAGCGTGCGCGTTGCGTGTCGCGGGTACGAGACTTCATTCTGCAAAGAAATCCATACCTATTCCTTTAAAGTCGCAGCATTTCCCCCCCCAAGAACGGCTCCACTGAATTTCGACAGTTCCTTCCGGTTTTAGCTATCATCTGCCCCGAAAAGTTATGAATTTAAACCGCTTCGACATTTCCTAAACCAGCCTATTTCGCTTCAAATCCAGCCCCACACACTTTCAAATTCACATCCAAAGCCCCATGGCCTTGCCGGGGTAGACAAATTGGCACCAACCACCCCTGAGCCGTAGATCCGTTGCCGGTGCAATGGAGTGAAAATGATGTGTGGCATCAGCCCTTTCTTTTCTATCCATTGCCCAGCCCTCGATTCCCTATTTGATGACCGTCGAACACAGTAGCCAAAAACACACACAAATGACCTTCATTTGCATGGGGGGGAAGTATGCTGAAGTAAGACAAGGCCATGAGAAAGTCATATTTCCAAACTCTGGCCCTAAAAAATTATCAAAAATTCAAAAATTGATATCGTAATACCCAAAAAATGCCTTTAAAGGGACAGTGACATCAACTAGAAAGCGTCTTAAAGACACAGTGACACCAACCTTTAATATCTTTTGAAAGTTCTGACTTCCAGTGACCGCAAAAACTACGAAGACCAATTCGATGGCGTCGAATACGAGCAGGGAATCGAGATGGAGAAGGCGCAATTCGAGGAGTTGTACGACCTCTACTCCGAGCAGTTCAAGGACTTTATGAAGAGGCACATCTTGACAACCAGGGATCGAAAACGAAAGATTAAGGTATGCTCGTGACTACGAATCTGGCGAAGAAACGATGGACCGCTTCAAGACGTACATGAAGAATATGGAGGAAGCTGAGAAGCTGAATCGTGAGGTAAACAATTTTGAGCTTTTTCTTGTTGGCACAACGCCTTTAAAAATTGTATAGAAATGAAAATTATGCAAATTTAGCGTAAATATGGTGGCGAATATGGAGAAAATGACATGGCCGATTGGACAGACGAGGAGTTCAAGAAGGTCAGTATTCTCTGGGGGTTTTCTAGACGTTCAGGCGTTTTAGATCCTCCTCCCCGTAACCTTCTACAAGAAGCTCCGCAGCGAGGCGACGTTCATCCAGAAGAACCCACCCCAGATGGAGCAGGCCGCCGCGCTGCCCGACCACTTGGACTGGAGGGAGAAAAATGGTGTCTCGCCGGTTAAAGCTCAAGGTATGGCTTTCTCTTGACCTAGTGTTCCTGAAGGATCGCTGCTGGTTTGCCCTGAACCTCTCGATGAGGCTCGAACGCTTAATCTACTCAAAAGGTCAGGTTTTTAAGGAAAGTGCGGATCGTGCTGGGCTTTTGCTGCCACGGCTACTGTAGAATCGGCTTGGTTGATCAAGGACGGAAAATACCGTAATCTTTCGGAGCAGACACTTCTTGACTGTGACTTCTCCAACAATGCTTGTGATGGTGGAGATGAGGACAAGGCATTTAGGTGAGAGCGAGCGAGAGAGAGGGAGAGAGAGTGAGAGACTACAAACGATTTCAGGTTCATCCACCGCACCGGCCTCGCCTTCAACAAGGACCTGCCCTACGTCGCCCATCGTCAGAACAGCTGCGAATTAGTCCACAAGGAGACGACCAAGATCAAGGTAAACGAAGCTGGACATGCTTTCGCTCTCTGTCTCTCTCCTTCTCTCTCTCTCTCGCTCTCTCTCTCTCTCATTCGAATTACACCTGCTCTAGATCGCCTACTTCCTGCACCAGGACGAGTACGCTATGCGCCAATGGATGGTTAACTTCGGGCCGGTCAACGTCGGTAAGTGGAAAATGGGAATCGAAGTGCTTGAACGTGCCGTCCATCTACTGTCCGTCCTGTAGCCTTGGAACTACCTAATTTGTTGTTTTATTTTACCAACAATTGTGCTTTTTCCAGGTATGTCCGTCACCCAACCGATGCGCTCGTACAAGTGCAACACCACCGAGTGCGGCGTGTTCACCCCAGATCCGTGGGAGTGCAAGAACAAAGTATTTCATATCGTACTCTATTCACGGGATTGATTAGGTCATTGGCCTCCACGCTCTCCTGGCTGTGGGCTACGGTACCGACCCTGTGACGAAGGAGGACTACTGGATTATCAAGAACTCGTGGGGATCAGACTGGGGCGATCATGGCTTCATCAAGTTCAGGAGGTACAGGGGGATTGTTTGGTTTTAAGGTCCTTGAACGGAAAAATCTATTGGCCTACCGTACCTAAACTTTAAAGCAATCATAGCGACGGTTAGATTACCATCTCTCGCGTTTTGCACAATTGCTCAATGCAATGGGCCAAGCAAATCATAACCATTAAATTTCCGCCATGGATTCATTGTGGATTTTGTTGCAAAGTCGCACGTGAAGCATTAAAGGGATACCCAATGTTTCGCCGGCAAATGTATAGTTATGTATTCCGGGCAGTGCAAATGACGCGCGAATTTTGTGCGGCAATGGGCCCCAAGGCCGCACAGAATTCGGACCCCTTTCCCTCTTGTGGCGTTCCCATCCCACCCAATGGGTTGCCACTATAGCCTAATGGATAGCATCTAGGCGTACAAAACGGGGGGGCCAGGGTTCGACCCCCGCCCGCGGCAGGGTTTTTGCTTTTTGAGCCCCGAAAAGTTTGGGATCCCTTTAAATTGTGTAATGGATTACGGGCTCCGTAATTCTGACATGTTGCGTCCCTTGAGCCCGCAAAACCTATCGAAATTCCACAGATGTGCCTTGCCGGTCCCCTTAAAGCCCGGAAATCCGGAAATGTTATATGCATCGGTCTGCGCCTCTAAATGAAGTAGTAATAAAAATTTGCATCCGTTTTCAGAGGCCAAAACGCGTGCGGAATCGAGGACGAGCCGGTCGGAATCATGGCCTAAAATCCCGCTCTCAAATCTGAAGAAAGTGGTCTCCGGGTCTTATGATAGAAAATTGATGATAAATAGTTATATATTTCCTTTTATCGCATTTTTTGGTTGTTTATTTTATTGTAATGCGATTGTCAAAAATTGGTCGACAGGTGAATTTTTGTACAAATACAGGCACGTTGAGCTGTGGCGGTGGAGGGGTAGAGCAACATATCCAAAAAACATAAGAATAAATACACGAAATGTTAAAGCGATTGGCGTTGATCAGCTGAATCAAACAGACGATAGTAATAGGCATTTAGATAATTAAAAAATCATAGATAGTACAAACTACACCAGCTTGGCGGTAAATAAATGCGTAATACGTGGTGGTATTGGAGTCATGTGGGTAATATGAGGTGTAGATCATTGGAAGTCGGGGCTTGTAAATTTGGTGTTTTAAATTTTAAAGGTCTCGGAAAGCCGAAATCCATAAGATTTTTGATTTTAAAAGTAGAAAGTTAGCGCAAATTAATTTTTAAAGGGTTGAGGAAGACAAAATATACTAGATTTCTTGTTAGCATCCTAGATTTCCCTTTGAAGTGCCATCAGACACCTGAATACGGTTGCAGGCATAAGAAAGGGTGGTGCGGGGACTATGGCTTTTAAAGGGCTAGTGAAGTCAAAATCTATAAGATTTTTCTCTTGCTAATACCTTTAAGAGACGGAACTCAAATATGCTTGTCATAAGAAACATTGTTCTCGCGGTAGATTTCCCGAACGGGCTCGTATTGCCTGGGGGAAAGTTGCGGGCTCTGGGCTTCGCCATTCCAGCCCGGACCCGAATTTCCGAACGACCTCCTGCCGCCGCTGAACGGCCGATCAGCAACGACACCGATTCCGACGAGTTGGGGCTTGGGCTGAAAAGTTACTTTCCGAAGTACCATAGCTTGATTGCAATTTGTGGCTGAATATGGATAAATTCCGAAATAAAGGTAATTCTACAATTAAGTTATTTTCGTAGCTTACCTGCTCCTCCAAGCTCTCCTTGCTCATATGGGTGCTCGCCGTCTCCTCACTGTCAAACGACCCTTGATCCTCGGACTTTTGCGCATTTCGATCACCCTAAAAGCTATCTTTCTAGTAATGCTGAACTCCTATACCCGATACATCGTGTGATGCTCCTCGTTATAATATTCCAATCGTTCCCGGGAGATCTCCGGTCGTGTCTGCTGCTTCTTGACAGACGCCGGCAGGATGGGGTCGATTTGGGAAAAGTCGAGGTATTCCTAAAAAAATAATTTAAGGTATAAATTTACATTGCTAGTATTTATTTAATAGAATTAAAAGCTGAGTTATAGCGTCCCGTTAAAAAAGATACCTTATGAGCTACTCTCGGGCTGTCTTCGGTGCCGTAGAACGATTTCTGGAAGCCTTGGGGTCGCTTCCGGTCGAACATTGGTACTAAAAATCGCTTATTTCGTACTTTTTTAGGTATCATTCGCTTAATATCCTTTCAGGTGTTCAAAAAAAAGACTGGCAAGAATTTTTGGCCCGGAATTTCCCATAGATTTCGCGGCCAACGCGACACGCAACGCACGCGCGGCCGCCGCGAAGAGGACGTAATCTATTACGCGTGGAAAAGCGGGTGCGTTGCGTGCTAGCGGCAAAATAAATTAATAAATGATCCGTAGCAGGAAAAAATCCATAGTCTTGCCATGCAGATCACTTTCAAGCTACTTATTGACTTCCGGCCGTCTAGAAATTCCGTCTACATTCTCCTTCCGTCCTCCTGATTAATCAAACCCCCCCGGCAAAACCCAGAACCCAGCTGCAACCCTTTTTTAGCCTTGATGGAAACGTTCCAACCGGGACCCACCGGCCATCCGGGACCGTTAAGGAGCGCAGCGGTCAAATATTTGTGTTTGTACGCAATCCCCCACCCGGGGGACGGCCTCCATGAGCTGGCAATTCGGAAGGCGCGACAAAGCGGACAGACGGGGGACAGCGAAGACAGAAAAACAGACAGACTCGCACTTCCTGGGTGCTGATGGATTGGGTGTTATCCGGGGCCAGACAAGCCGCAAATCATTGCCATTATGTACATTTCGTGGAGTTCTCTGACTAATATAAGCGGTGGCGCCAAATTAGGAGGATCGCGATGGGTGACGATTACGGGAAAAGTGAAACGGTTTTTCTGGGGGTAGATTGTGAGAGCGCGAGATAGTGAAACAGAGAGAGCGTGCGAGAGAGAGAGAGGTAGAGAGAGAGGTAGGCAGAGAGAGCGAGAGAAATATAGGTAGCGGACGATACAAAGTGGGATGGTCCAGGACGAGAGAGTGAATCAAGGGAGGAAGAGAGCGACTGAGCGAGAAGCGAGAGAGTGCGAAAGCGTGCGTGAAATCGAGAGAGGGTGAAAGTGCGAAGGTAATAGATAAAGTCAGATAAAAAAATAAAATAATACCCCGAAAGAAAGAAAGACAGAAAGACAGATAGAGAAGGCGACAGAAAGAGAGAGCGAGCGAGCGAGAGAGAGAGCGAGAGAGAGCGAGGGAGAGACTGAGAGAGAGCTAAGAGATAGAGAGCGCGCGAGAGAGCTCAGGGGATGGTATAAGGGGATTATCACTTTAAAAAGCATTAATAGACAATTGCATTTTATTCTTTAGGGTTTTTTTGCTCCCTTGCTTTGCCAAATTTTTCGTATTTTGGAGCGTGGTTTTAGAAAATTCTTGACCCCATCATCGATAATCCTGGATTTTAAGATCACCCCCAACCCAAAGACTTTTCATTCTTCTCTCGCTCAACTAATGCCCAAAAAATCCCGACGTTCAAGCCAAGGATCACCCCTGAAAACGTACATTTTCTGAGAGTATCCCCCGCAAAGCTGGCTCCACTGTTCTTCTTGTCAATCGAGTTGTTGGAGATGGCATAAATTGGGGACGAGATCCGCGGGTAGACACCTAAAAACCCCTTGCATTTACGATTGGATTTCCTTCTTTTTCACACGGACCCCGTAACGGATGGGGATCACAAAAACGGGGTCGAGCTCCCGATCGGAGTGCTAGTCGGCTACTCTAGTGGTGTTCGGTAAACAACACGATTGTCCCGGAAATCGGGGTCATGGCTGTGGATAGATCGGAGAACATGGCGTTTTTGATGCGTTCCGAGAAACTAACTCGAACTCCCGGGTCTTAAAATTTTGGCAAGCAGCCAGATGCGGCCCGATAAAGCCGCGATATCCTGCGCCAATGACACGCAAAACCGAGAAGGGATTTTTTTCAAAAACTCACGTGATTTTGCCCGTTCCGGTCTCCTTTTCTGAAAAGCTGGGCTGTTCCGGAATAAGCAGTAGCACAGGAATATCAACAGGGCCAACGAAAAAAGGCCGGCGACCGCGGCCACAATTACCACCACGTAGTCCTGCATCTCACCGCCGTATCCGCATGGGGAAGTTGGTTTAGATACTGAAAATTGGAATGTGGTGAGAGAGACAGAGGGAGCGAGAGAGGGTGAGAGAGAGAAAGCGAAAGAGCGAGATAGAGAGGGAGGAGGAGAGAGGGGAATCCAAGAACACGTTCAGAATCTTCGAGAATAACGACGCATTAATCGAGGACGAGCCGGTCGGAATCATGGCCTAAAATCCCGCTCTCAAATCTGAAGAAAGTGGTCTCCGGGTCTTATGATAGAAAATTGATGGTAAATAGTTATATATTTGCTTTTCTCGCATTTTTTGGTTGTTTATTCGATCGTAATGCAATTGTCAAAAATTGGTCGACAGGTGAATTTTTGTACAAATAAGGCACGTTGAGCTGTGGCGGTGGAGGGGTAGAGCAACATATCCAAAAAACATAAGAATAAATACACGAAATGTTAAAGCGATTGGCGGTGGTTCAGCTGGATCAAACAAACGATAGTAATAGGCATTAAGATAATTAAAAAAATCATAGAGAGTACAAACTACACCAGCTTGGCGGTAAATAAATGCGTAATACGTGGTGGTATTGGAGTCATGTGGATAAGATGAGGTGTAGATCATTGGAAGTGGGGGATGTAAATTTGCTGTTTTAAATTTTAAAGGTCTCGGAAAGTCGAAATTCATAAGATTTTCGATTTTAAAAGTAGAAAATTAGCGTGAATTAATTTTTAAAGGGTTGAGGAAGACAAAATATACTAGATTTCTTGTTGGCATCCTAGATTTCCCTTTGAAGGGCTATCAGACACTTGAATACAGTTGCACGCATAAAAAAGGCTGGCGCGGGGACTTTGGCTTTTCAGGGCTAGTGAAGTCAAAATCTATGAGATTTTTCTCGTGTCAATACCTTAAGTGATGAAACTCAAATATGCTTGTCATAAGAAACATTGTTCTCGCGGTAGATTTCCCGAACGGGCTCGTATTGCCTGGGGGAAAGTTGCGGGCTCTGAGCTTCGCCATTCCAGCCGGGACCCGAATTTCCGAACGACCTCCTGCCGCCGCTGAACGGCCGATCAGCAACGACACCGATTCCGACGAGTTGGGGCTTGGGCTGAAAAGTGACTTTCCGAAATGCCATGCTATCCATAGCTTGATTTCAATTTGTGGCTGAATATGGATAAATTCCGAAATACACGTAATTCTATCAATTAAGCTATTTTGTAGCTTACCTGCTCCTCCAAGCTCTCCTTGCTCATATGGGTGCTCGCCGTCTCCTCACTGTCAAACGACCCCTGATCCTCGGATTTTTGCGCATTTCGATCACCCTAAAAGCGATCTTTTCAGTAATGCTTAACTCCTATACCCGATATATCGTGTGATGCTCCTCGTTATAATATTCCAATCGTTCCCGGGAGATCTCGGGTCGTGTCTGCTGCTTTTTGACAGACGCCGGCAAGATGGAGTCGATTTGGGAAAAGTCGAGGTATTCCTAAAAAAATTAAGGTATAAATTTACATAGCTAGTATTTATTTAATAGAATTAAAAGCTGAGTTATAGCGTCCCGTTTAAAAAGATACCTTATGAGCTACTCTCGGGCTGTCTTCGGTGCCGTAGAACGATTTCTGGAAGCCTTGGGGTCGCTTCCGGTCGAACATTGGTACTAAAAAATTGTTTGTTTTCGAATTTTTTTAGGTATCATTCGCTTAGTCTCTGCTTTCAGGTGTTCAAAAGAGACTGGCAAGAATTTTCGGCCCGGAATTTCCCATCGATTTCGCGGCAGACGCGACACGCAACGCATGCGCGGCCGCCGCGAAGAGGACGTAATCTATTACGCGTGGAAAAGCGGGTGCGTTGCTTGATAGCGGCAAAAGAATTTTAATAGATGATCCGTAGCAGGAGAAAATCTATAGTCTTGCCATGCAGATCACTTTCAAGCTACTTATTGACTTCCGGTCGCCTAGAAATTCCGTCTACATTCTCCTTCCGTCCTCCTGATTAATCAAACCCCCCGGCAAAACCCAGAACCCAGCTGCAACCCTTTTTTGGCCTTGATGGAAACGTTCCAACCGGGGCCCACCGGCCATCCGGGACCGTTAAGGAGCGCCGCGGTCAAATATTTGTGTTTGTACGCAATCCCCCACCCGGGGACGGCCTCCATGAGCTGGCAATTCGGAAGGCGCGACAAAGCGGACAGACGGGGACAGCGAACACAGAAAACAGACAGACTCGCACTTCCTGGGTGCTGATGGATTGCGTGTTATCCGGGGCCAGACAAGCCGCAAATCATTGCCATTATGTACATTTCCTGGTTTCGTGGAGTTCTCTTGGATATTGGCGGTATCACTGGATTTCCAGGGTGGCGCCAAATTAGGAGGATCGTGATGGGTGACGATTACGGGAAAAGTGATCAACGGTTTTTCTGGGGGTAGATTGTGAGAGAGCGAGATAGAGAAAAAAGAGAGAGCGAGCGAGCGAGAGAGAGAGAGAGCCAGAGAGAGAGAGAGAGAGAGAAAGAAAGTGAGAGAGAGAGAGAGGTAGGCAGAGAGAGCGAGAGAAATATAGGCAGCGGACGATCCAAAGTGGGATGGTCCAGGACGAGAGAGCGAATCAAGAGAGGAAGAGAGCGACTGAGCGAGAGAGCGAGAGCGTGCGAAAGCGTGAGAGTGTGAAATCGAGAGAGGGTGGAAGTGCGAGAGTACTAGATAAAATCAGAGAGAAAGTTAAAATAATACCCCGAAAGAAAGACAGAAGCCAGATAGAGAGGGCGACACAGAGAGAGAGAGGAGAGAGAGAGTGAGTGAGATAGAGAGAGAGAGAGAGAGAGTGAGAGCGAGAGTAGGGAGGAGGAGAGACTGAGAGAGAGAAAGAGATAGAAACGGAACGAGAGAGATCAGGTGATGGTATAAGGGGACTATCATGTTAAAAGTTAAACTTTAGGGTTTTTGTGCTCCTTTGCTTTGTCAAATCTTTCGTATCTTTGGGGGCGGCGTTTTAGAAAATTCTTGACCGCATCATCGATAATCTAGGATTTTAAGATCACCCCCAACCCAAAGACTTTTCCTTCTTCTCTCGCTCAACTAATGCCAAAAGATCCAGGCGTTCAAGCCAAGGATCACCCCTGAAAACGTACGTTTTCTGAGCGTATCCCCCCGCAAAGCTGCCTCCACTGTTCTTCTTGTCAATCGAGTTGTTGGAGATGGCATAAATTGGGGACGAGATCCGCGGGTAGACACCTAAAAACCCTTGCATTTACGATTGGATTTCCTTCTTTTTCACACGGACCCCGTAACGGATGGGGATCATAAAAACGGGGTCGAGCTCCCGATCGGAGTGCTAGTCGGCTACTCTGGTGGTGTTCGGTAAACAAGACGATTGTCCCGGAAATCGGGGTCATGGCTATGGATAGCTCGGAGAACATGGCGTTTTTGATGCGTTCCGAGAAACTAGCCCGAACTCCAGGGTCTTAAAATTTTGACAAGCAGCCAGATGCGGCCCGATTAAGCCGCTATATTCTGCGCCAATGACACGCAAAACTGAAAAGGGAGTTTTTGAAAGACTCACGTGATTTTGCCCGTTCCGGTCCCCTTTTCTGAAAAGCTGGGCTGTTCCGGAATAAGCAGTAGCACAGGAATATCAACAGGGCCAACGAAAAAAGGCCGGCGACCGCGGCCACAATTACCACCACGTAGTCCTGCATCTCACCGCCGTATCCGCATGGGGAAGTTGGTTTAGATACTGAAAATTTGAATGTGGTGAGAGAGAGAGAGGGAGAGAGAGAGAGAGAGAGAGAGAAAGCGAGAAAGCGAGATAGAGAGGGAGGGGTGAGAGTGGAATCCTAGAAAAAGTTCAGAATCTTTGAGAATAATGACGCATTGATGATCAGACCAACTTGTTGCGATAGGGCGAGAGAAATGGAGGAGAGAGAGCGAGAAAAACAAGAGAGAGAGAGAGAGAGTGAGAAAGAGACCTGGAGTAGACACGAAAGACCTTTGAAACCTTAACGATGCGTAAGCGCGCGAGGGACATAAAGTTAAAAAAGCTGCAAAGAACAGCAAGATGAAGAAAATAAATAACAAATCAATAATAAAACAAAAAACCTAAAGTTTTAAGTTTTTGGGCTTAGATTCTGGATCATAACCGACTATACAGCCGTTCGGCGCATAAATATAGCTTCTCCTCAGGAAACGACCTTTGAAACTGCCGTTCAAAGTTCTACGTTTCACGCACACCCTTAACAATGACAAAGATCTGAGGTGCTTGTTTCAGGAGGGCTGACACCCCGACCCGTCCTATCCAAACAATCCCCCTATCGTTTTCATAAAGACCCGGTTTACCCGAAAGCAAAGAATCAGGCTTGGTGGGGGGGGGGTTGAAGTGCATTGACAGGCTGGATGGAGATGGCATACACACACGCGATGCGACCACAAAACAAAAGGCAGAATACGATGAAAAGGGTTCGGAGGCTTCTTGATTTCTTGACGAGAAGCTGAAGGAAGAACCCGTCCGCCGAGTCTCGACTCGACTCCATGGCAAATACCCCCAAGGCGCCGAGCTAATGGCTTCTTATTGTCGCGCCTCCGGGAATGTTGGGTTTTTGTGGGGTAGATACTTTGACATGGGGGATGGATGTGAAGTGCTAATCGTCGAGCGGATCTTCGGGGATAACAGTTGGTAGCTGTTCGTGAGAAAACTACTACGAGAAAATATGCTGAGGTTCACAAATTTAGGAACGGCTTTTCTGGCGCGTAAAAATTTTATAGCGTCGCCAGAAATTCAGAGATGACTAAAAAAACCGGGTAAATTAGCTCTGCCAATTTCAGCTGTATTTTTTCTTTCTGATCCACATCTTTGTTATGACCCAGAAGACTAGAAAATTTTTTTAATTTATTTGCGGTAAAATTGTGATTGTTTTTGCATTGCAGTAAAAATTCCGTTTTCTGGATTTTGTAACCCAGAAGAATGGAGCCCAGAACCCTAATTATGGATGAGTTTCTCGGCAAAAGCAGAGGGAGAAAGAGGAAGAAAGAGCGAGAGAGAGAGAGAGAGAGAGAGAGAGAGAGAGAGATAGAAGGAGAGGTGGAGAGAGGGAACCAGGGCCAGAACAAGCGTCGAAAATTACGGGTGGTACGAATCCGAGCCATAATGCCGACGGCCAAAATCCCGACAGTATAGTCTCGACAGTCAAAATCTTGGAATAGGCATTTGCGCTAGTTTGAATGCAGTTATTTAGCGTGCCGGGAATGTCGGGATTATCGCTTTTTCCCGTCCAAGACATCTTGAGTATCAAAAATCGGAACTCAGAATAGAGGAAGTACGAAAGTCGATGCAGCAATAAAATATTCAATTCCCTAATGCCGTGCGCGCTGCGATTGACCGTCTAAACAATGACCTAATCGTCCACAAGGGAGGGCGTCAGTGGCGTGAAGTGAGGGTCCGATCCGGCGGCGCGTTGGGCGTCAAGAAGCCTCCCGCGCGCGCCACACACAAACGGATTGCATGGACCGGATGGTATGGGTGTTGGGACTAGGGACGGAGGGACGGATCGACGCCTCGGAAGCCCCGGAATCCGATCGGGGGGGCTCCGATCGTTCGGGTAATCAAACGCGCGCGAAGCGGGAAAGGGATAGGGGAGGTTGCCGAACATTTGGACCCTCGAAGCTTTTTTAGTAGAGAAGACGGCGTTCCGGCAGCAATTGGAGCTAATTTTCTAAGGTGAGATCTGCCAGGAGTCGGGGCGCAATTTTGGAAGGGGGTGTGACGTACTTAAAGAGAACCTGTAGTTAAATTCGAATAATTTAATGATGCTGATGCGAAAAGGAGGGCGAGAACGAGAGACAGAGAAAAAGAAAGAGAGAGACAGAGTGAGAGAGAGGCAGCTTGTCCAAAATAGAGAGAGATAGAAAGACAGCTGGACAGCTAGATAGCGTCAGAGCGTGAGAATGGATGTGCCACGACCGCACACCCGCGTGTAAAGTGACTTTAAAGGCGCTGGGACAGCCAAATATTACAGAAGCTTTTTTTAGAAGACAAGTCTAGTTAAATGAACGAAACCAAATGCATACGGTAGATCTGCTTCCGTTTTTCCTAGCTATTGCCGAGAGACAGAAAATCCAAGAATCCAAGGATCCGATCCCAACCCGTATAGATGATAATTGCCTAGTTTGGGGCAAATTGACGACAAAAAGCGGTCATTTACGAGGCGAGAAGGGTGGGCGGCATTTCCTTGAATGGCCGTTCGGAGGCAGACAGAAAGAGATCATAAACTCCCGTGGAAAACGATGATTGCCAAACGTGGAGAGAGAGAGACAGAGAGAGATAGAGAACGAGAAGATTTCGTAGGAAAACGGCTGGGTGGGTTTGAGTGGTCTTTTAAAGAGATTTTCAGGAGCGTGTAAACCTAGTTTTTGGAATTGTTTTTAAACCTGAATGGGAGAGAGAGTGAAAGAGAGAGAGAAAGCAACGAAATAGAGCAAGAAAGGGAGCGAAACAGACAAAATCTAAGATATATTTTTATAATTAAAGCCCCTTTTCTTTCTTATAGTTTTGAAATGGCTAACATGTCCAAAGCCCCAAACTACACTACAGAAACACTGTCGCGCACCTCAAGTCTACATACGCGAACGCAAAAACGGTCTAGATCACCGAGAAGCCCAAAGAAGTGACCCGATCGTAAATGAGAGCCGCGCGGAGTGGTGGGGGACACTTGCCCTGGCTAGCCATAGCCGTAGCACTCTGCTCCGAACCTTTTTCCAGTTATGGCCTCGACTCTCGTGGAATGGGAATAGCCATAGGGCTGGCTGATTGCCTTTGCGTTTCTCACGCGTTTTGGAGCATAAAATACTGATGGTTATTATCCTGGGCAAGCCAATTGAAAAATTAAGGAGGTAAGAAATAAAATAATACTAATATAACGTTAAGGGAAATTAAATGGAGATTTTTCCAAGAAATATTTGCTTCTAATATCATAAAATGCTTCTAAGTTAAAAAAGAAAAAAATTCGTATTGAATCGAATTCCCAGCACGTTTCCGGAAATCTGCCTTGAATATGAATAGCTCTTTTCCACATCTCATTCAAACGTATCGAACGGGTCAGTAAAATCAGCCCAACATGCTGCTCCGATTCTCTATATTCCTAATTTTTATTCTACTCCTCATTGTTGAAACGGATGCTCAAACATGCGGAAAAAGTAAGGTTTCGAAAGCGAGAGAGCGAGAGAAGGAACAAGTGGGTGGGAGGGAGTGCGACAGTGAAAGAGTGTGGAAAATAACGATAATGCTTCAGGAAAGAAAGTCGTCCCTCAAATGATCAAATGGGCGAAAGAAGGCGATGAAGGTGAATGCATAGATGATCCTGTGAGGAAAAAAATTGTGTATTTCAGACCCGCTATCGTTGGGCAAGATCTTAATGGGGAAGGGGCGTGAAGGGAAGCCGCTTGGAAATGGGAACGACGGCGGGAACCCTTGAATTTGGCCATATACGCATGGTTTGCTGGTCGGAATGAAGTTATCGTTGTTATAAAGCCTAAGAATACAACCTTCATTCGTTAAATAATTTAAAATGAGAGAAAGTTATACTAGAATTAACAGAATTAACATCTCCACTTTATTAATTCGCTTTATTATAATTCAAGGAGCACTTTCGAATCTCATGCGAACTAAACATGCTCGAAAAACGATCCTGAAAGTCTAGAAGAACATATGGGATCTAACAACAACATTGAAAAGAGCTTAACGTATCCGAGCCCAAGCCTACGCTACGTTCCTTTGTACGTCACTATCCAATGCGTAAATGCATAAAAATGAACAACAATTGACGGGAAAACATTCGGAACATTCTCGAGGGCATCCCTATTATCGCTATTATTAGGTTCCACCTTATGCCCATCGATGCATAAGGAAACGCCCGAGACGCAAGGCGAAAGGAAGATGGTGGCAAAAAGCCATTCTATTTTCTGACTGTTTTTGTGGTGCCACATTCAGCGCTGAAGGAGGGGGGGGCGGATTGGCGGATCATAGGCGTGAAAGTAACAGTCAGTTGGGGTGGAAGAAGATGGCACACAGCTTCAACCACCGCTCCTGGCATGAGTCGGTCTCTATCTCCGTCTCTCTCTCTCCCTCTCTCTCCATCTCGTTTTCTCTCTCTGACTCACGCTCTCTCAATCTACCCACATCCACATCCCCCGTCAACAACAATGCCCATAATCTACCACCACCACCAGAGCCTGAGGCTGAGTCGGGCCGGGATGTGGCTCAAATCCGGTGCCCTTTTTTTAGCTTGAACATCTGGTGTGAGAGTGATGGAAACTTCAAATAAAAATGTATGCCTAAATGTTTTAATAAATTTAGAATCTGACAAGAGTTTGACTACTGCTGATTTCCCGCCTAAGTTTGTAAAACATGGGTCAAAATCGTTGCAAAACTACGGATAATAAAACCGGAATATCTATCGAAAAGTGATAAACACCTTGGAATACACAACCTTGAACTGTACCGATGATAAAAAGTCTGGCGATAACATTATGTACCACTCCAGCCCAACCAGGGATAAAAACCGTGACTCAAGTTGGGTGGTAGGGGGTGACACCTCGAGTTCCGGCGATGTTCATATCCGATTAGAGAATTTTGAATAGAGACAGAGAGAGAGAGAGAGAGAGAGAGAGAGAGAGAGCGAGTAAGAATGCGAGTTAGGGGAGAGGGAGAGAAAGAGGCAGGAGAGCGAGAGAGTGAGAGAGAGAGAGAGAGAGAGAGAGAGAGAGAGACAAAAGAAAGATAGCGATGGGGATAAATAGAGAGAGCAAGAGAGCTATAAATATAGAGATAATCAGAAAATAGTCGAAAACATTTCCAAAACCATAAACAATAGTGCTTAGGTATTGCTATCCCAAAAACATTTCGATACCGCCTCAAAAATCCCCAGCTGATACCCGTTGCCAGAATGGGATTGGCAACTGGGGTGGAACAATCGAGAAGGGGTCAAAAAAACAGTTGTCTTGGTTGCCACAGTTTCTCAAAAGTTTCTTGATGCCCAGGCCGGATTCGCCCGATTTCCTGCGCCGCCAAAAATGGTTTTTGGGCACCGGGGGGCTGCTGGAATTCAAGCCGACCCAAAAAGTGTTTTTCTTTCCGGGGGTCGCCCCCTGTAAAGATGGGTTGAAGATTGATGGGTGGTGCGGGGCAGATTGTGTGTGGCATCAAAATGGGCAGCAAGGTCAAAGGGTGGGTGATATCAAAGGGGGGGGGGGATGGAATTGAAGAGAGAACAAGGGCACATCTGCTTCTCCGGTTACTTCGGTACCGCGTGCGCAACTTCTTCCGGGGCAGAAAACCGGAAGTGGTGGGGTGAATTTTTGGCCAGGAATTAAATTACGAATTGCTGAAATGAATATCCAAATATTGAGGGAGGGCGAGTGTGGTAGAGAGAAAGAGAGAGAGAGCGAGAGAGATTGAGAGAGAGAGAGAGAGAGAAGGAAAGTAAGAAAAAAAGAGAGACAGTGAGAGACACAGAGAGAGAGGGTACCGGAAGAACCCGATAGGATAGAGTGGGGAACGTATGCGAGAGCACGGGAAAGCGAAAGAGAGAACGATAGATTGTCAAAAAACGGTCCGAGACCAAAAATAGGATCTCTGAAACTTATCTAAAAATACGTAAAGCTGAACCTGAAGGCAAGATTTCCTATCTAATCATCTCCAAAGATCTACGAGGCCTTTGACTCAATATGGGAGCGCCAAATAGCAAAAAGGGGCAGCGGCATCGGCCCAGCGGATGATTCAACAATGGCCAGCTGATAACGAGGCCGGCTGGCTGGCCATGGCGGGAAAGCGAAATAAATGCAAAACCCGACAAAAAAGGGCAATATTGCGGTTTTGCAGGGTGGGATAACATGTTTTTGATGGCGGCTTAAAAGCGTCGAGTCTGCAGAATCGCCGAAATCGAATTAGCTGTTTGAAAACTGCCCTTTTTAGTGGAAAATGTCTTAAAAACAGCTAGAAATTATCTGTCACGTGCCATTTAAAAGCCAAAGAAAGCTGATGTGAGTCCGAGAGCAATGACCGCAGCGAGCTATAAAATCGTGGAAAACAGCGGAATCACCCCCGCTCTGAAAAAAGAGCGGATCCGATAGCCGGCACAAGTGCCGCGGGCGAAGATGATAATCGGGTTTTTGTGGCGAGTTCCGATGGAAAAAGCGCGAAAATTATTGGAGCGGGAGGTGTCGGTCGGGAGGGCGAGCTCGAGGCGGCACCGCGAATGATTTATGAGAGAGGGGAACGGAGAAGAAGCCGACGGCAATGCCATGTGGAATTTGTTAAAGGGGTGAGCGAGTTGAAGAAGTTCACATTTTCGAGGGGAGTTGAGACTCACACGTGAAGTCGCTGGAAAGATAATGCTTGTATTGGAGCCTGAGAAATTAGGAAACGTGAACTAAAAAATGAGCTTACGGGGAGAAAAAGTGAGAGAGAGAGAGAGAGAGAGAGAGAGAGAGAGAAAGAGGGAGAGAGAGAGAGAGAGCGAGCGAGCGATAGAGAGAGAGAAGGAGAGTGAGAGAGAGAGCGATAAAGAGCTTGAGAGGAGAGAGAGCGAGAGAGAGAGAGCGAGTGAATTCGACCCGCTTTCGAACGAATTTTCTAAATAAAAACGCGCCGAGTAGCTGCTCAAGCTCGAGCTCGCTCGGATCTCTCTTACTCCCATTCTCTCTTTCCCACTATCTCTCTGGCTTCCTGATGCCCTCTCTCCCGCTCTCTTGCCTGAAATATACCACGCATGTAAGATACCTAAGAATTTGAAAATCCAACACGGACATACAGAAAACCAACCAAATCTCACAAAAACTCGCGAAAGGCCCCTACTTTCCCCCGACTCCTTTGAATACGCCATTATTCCACTTCAAAGAGTAGCGACACTTTGGGATGCAACTTGCTGAATAGACTCAAAATGGTAGGCCGGACACGAGAGAGAGAGAGAGAGAGAGAGAGAGAGAGAGAGGGGAGAGATAGAGATAGAGAGAGGGGAGAGAGAGAGAGAGAGAGAGAGAGAGAGAGAGAGAGGAGACCGAACGCAAGTGAGCGAAACTATATATACAAAAATCACAAAAATCTGGTGAATGGGCCATATGCATCAAGTGAAAGAGAGAGGGAGATTGGTCGAGCAGAGCCGATAATGCAAATACGATCGGCTCCCGCTTGAGGGTTCTCCCTCCCGATTTGAATGGGGCGGATGGATGGAGGATTCGGGAGAGGTTGACGGTTCGCATATTGGGACCGAAGCCGCTGCCCCCCGATCGGAGACAAATATTTCACCCGTTTCCCATCCGGGGGCGCGATCCGCACCGAATTCCGCTTCCGGATTTCAGACACCCGGGATTTTGGGGCGAGTGAGGGTGGATTCGGCAAATTTGGCGGATACCAGGAATTGAATTACCGTTGGAACTGTCCCTTAAAATATTACGCTAGGTATTGCCAAACTTTATCACGTAATTTTTGACATATATAGCGTAAGGTATGAAGTTCTGCGCCAAATTTTTATCTGCTACCCCAGGAAACTTAACAAGCTTTATTGATCTTATTTATGCGTATTAAAAAATTTTGCTTGATTGGAGTCGATTTTTCCAATACATGAATTCATAAAATTGATAGAAAATTTGAAATTCCGAAATTAAACACGATGAAATTTACATACAAATTAGAGTGCACATCACACTGAAATGAATTATCAACTTACTTTATTTCTTGGGTTTTCAATTATGTAGTAGCGGGCTGTATATGATTCGCCAGAACGGCCATTTTCAAGAGGAATAGACAAAACGATGAATCAGCAACCATAATGAAATCCTTTTTTCGCAGTAAACCGGTCCGGTCCAGGCAGCATCAAATTCTAATCAATAATTCATATGGTTGCTAACTTGCCAAACCCAAAAATATTTTTCTCGTGTGACGCCGACGCTGCAATGCATTTCCAAGTGCACGGGTTTCGGTGTATGCATTTTTTGGGTGATGATTTTCAGGAACGGGTTTTTCTGGAGTCTGTCAATGATTCTGGGGAAACGCTAAACAAAGGTTTTCCAGCAGCCGCCTGCTGATTCACTAATCAGATCAAAATTGTTTGGCGATTGCGCATAACGATAGCTCATTGATGAATTTTCCCTGCTGGGAACGTCATATTTCCTAGGAAAGTCAGCGAGAGAACAAGAGAGCATGAGATATAGGGAGCGACCGAGAGATAAGAGAGAAACGAGGGAGAAAAATACGCGAAAGATATTTTCAAAAAAGGTTCCGGATGAAGCCAGGCCACAAAAGCGGAAGCCAGGCCACACACACACAATCAAACATTTTCATTTTTCACCTATTTTCAGCATTTTCCTGTATAGTATCGTTGTGGTGTAGTTTTTGTAGTTTGATGTTATAGCGTTGGAAGAGCCGGGGGAACACGCATTAAGGAAATCTCTCGTCAGATCTGCATCATCACACTTCCTCAGGTCAATGCCATTTGCCAGTGCTGCCAGTTCCGTGATTTCATGATGATAGCTCACCTAAGAAGTGAAAAACCGAAGAATCCCGCAGTGAGGGAGAGAGAGAGCGAGAGAGAGAGAGAGAGAGAGAGAGAGTGAGAGAGAGTGAGAGAGAAAGAGGAAGAGAGAGAGAGAGAGAGAGAGAGAGAGAGAGAGAGAGAGAGAGAGAAGAATGGACATTTTCCGCCATTCACCTCTCCCACACCACAATAGGACAAAATCGAAGGGAAACGAGGAACTGACAAAATGCGGGCTTCGCTTATACTTCCGAAAATCTGATTCCCGAAAATCCGTTTCCCGAAAATCCGATTCCCGAAAATAGAATTCCCGAAAAATCCGAATCCCGAAAACTCTGAATCCCGAAAATCTGAATCCCGAAAATCCGGTTCCCGAAAAATCTGAATCCCGAAAAATTCGTTTCCCGAAAATCTGTTTCCCGAAAAATCTGAATCTGAAGAATCTGCGGTTTGTGAACTGAAAAAAACCCTGGTACAATTCAACGAGGCGGGGGGAAGGGGTTTCAGGCGGGGGGCAATCTGCGTCTCAGCGCCCGCCCTGCTCTCTAGGCACGCCCTCCGCCTATAGGCCCACCTCCCCCCGCCGAAATCCTCACCCCGCCTATTTGAATTGTACCAAAACCCTTTCTAAAGTTCCTGGGCGACTTCCAAGACGGTGAATTCAATAAAGTTAATTTTTAGCTCTGTTTTTTCCAATTTGGCTTTTCACAGCGCGGTCTTTCCAGGTTTGGATTCTGGGGCTCGGATTTTTCAAGATTCAGATTTTCGGGAATCGGATTTTCGAGAATCGGATTTTCGGAAAACGGATTTTTCGGGATTCAGATTTTTCGGGAATCGGATTTTCGGGAATCAGATTTTCGGGATTCAGATTTTTCGGGATTCGGATTTTCGGGAATCAGATTTTCGGGAAACAGATTTTCGGGATTCTCATCGGAAATCACAAAATGCATGCACATGCTGGTGGTTATCAACCCATGCCCTCATCATATACCGAGGGAAAACGGTGGGGAGCTTGGGAAATTTGTGAAAAAGTGAAGCGCTTCGGGGTTGTGCTGAAAAGTGTACATTTGGCAACCTATCACATCAGCAGTACGATGTTCTCGAGTGTAAAGCCTATCAGGGGTTGGAGCGGAGTTCAAGTGAACAACGTATTTTGTGATTTTACTAAGTTTCTGCTTTGCGCTTTGCGTTTCTTTTAGTCGTGTTTTGATTCAAGTTACAACCAGCATGTAGCACGCTAAAAGCTTCGCAAAAAAATGTTGAGCAAACCTGATTATTTAAGAAATTCGTAAATTTCTATTCACAGCGACAAATTTTATTATTTTTTAGGTTCTGTTTCCTTGTTGTCTATTATCGAATTTCATGGGTTACCGATAAACAGCTTATTTTAACGAGGTGCCGACACATTATTAATAACGGGCGCGAGGGGTATAAAAGCAGCTTTTTCTCGAAATTTCAATGAACCATGAGATTCCTGATCTTCTTTTTCCTGGCTTTTGCCCTGGTTTTCGGTGGAGCCACCACCAATAAACCATCCGTTGGCCTGCCAGATGCTCTGATTGAGGTTATTTATTGCCAAATTGACCAAAAATTCAGATAAAAAAGAATGGAGCGCTTGTTTATGACATTTTCAGAAACTGCGTCAAATCGACCTGTCCAAGATTTCGTTGGATGATCTCAAGGCCGCCGTAATGAAAAATTTCTCGGTTCCGGTATGTTGCATTTTTCAAATGGTTAATTCTTACTATTTATACGTTTTTAGGTCCCAACTACTACTGCTAAAAGCGCCGCTACAAAGCTAAAGCGAATAGCCAAGGCCTAAAATCAAGCTGATAAAAAGTTTATCATCGAGAAATGCGAAATCTCGTATTTGAATGCTATATCTTGCAATGTAATGGATTTCATGCATTCCAAAACCTTGGCACCTTTTATGGCATACTCTTAAATTTAAAGAAAAAGTTCGGTTAATCAATACTCTCAAAAACTGAAAACTAAAATCAAAACGCGACGAATTACGTGACTATATAATTTGCATACCTCGAAATCTGTATTTTTTTCAATATAATGCGATTTTTGGTGCAGTAAGGTTTTCATAAAAATTTAGACAATTTATCGAATACTCTAGAAAACGTAAAAAGACCGAAAAGTCCGGATACAACGAATTACAAAGATACGCTTACAAGTGTCATCTCTGAGAATCGGGATGGGAGTGAGGGGGGGAATGGGGGTCAGAGGCACGGGATCGGCAGACGGAAAACGGCCATAAATGCTAGTAGCTACAACGACGAGCAGCGCGGAGGGATCTGCTGGTTGTAGCAATGTAACGGAATTTGGAAGATCCTAGTAACGGAAGGCGAAGACGGCAAAGACAGAGGCGAAGGCGGCAAGGACAGAGGTAGATGTGCCAGCGTTGCAGCCGTCTTTCTGAAAATTGGTATTTGAAAGGGATTGGCAAGATATGTTTTGGGTTCTGGACTGTTAGCAGGGCCACCACTATTTTTATAGTTTTTTTTGCAGTTTTGAATTGATAAAAAGTTATAAAAATGTTTTTAAACGCTTTGGAAATTCGCAAATTTGACTTTTTTGGGGCCATTTTACATAGATTGAGTCAAAAAATGTTTATGATTTTTTATATTGTTTTCACATCAAAAAATTATCAAGAATCCTTGAAAAGGCCTCCATTTTGTTCCATATTTCTGCAAAAAATTTGGATTCCCCGCGCTAGAAATCCCCCACCCCGCTAAGAGTGCAGAACCCAGAAAACCGAAATATTAAGTCTAGGTATCTGACGGCCTTTAACGACCATTCTTATAGAGTTCTTGTAATATTTAATACATAAAAATCTAGTCGCTGAAAACTAACGTTATTGCACTGGTAGAAGTAAAGCTGGATGCGGTTGTTGCCCGTCTTCTTCAACCCGTCGACCTCCTCGCCCGAGTAGGCGCATTCCCTGATCGTCTGCTTCTTCTCCTCGACGTACTACAACATCGGATTCCATAAATATTACAATAAAGTTAAAATTTGGGCTTTTTGAAGCCGTTAAATTCTACTAACCTGCTCGATCTTGCGGCACCCGATGGCGTTCTTGTTAGCGAAGGGGCCGTCAGCCAGCTTGCCGCAAGGCTAAATTTTTAGATTGAAAGGGCCGGATTTTTATGATAGCCTCGTCTCTATATAATAATGTTAAGCCATTTTGCAGCATGCTGAAATACTTCGCAAAATATCGATGTCTGCCTTACCTTTTTCCACTTGGCCAGATCCGTCACCTCCGTCGAGTCGCACATCTCCTCGCCGTTGGCACCCGTATTGCACTGGTAGCAGGAGAGGGCCCTGAAAATGGAGAAATACGGATTGATCAAAACAAATTATTGGTATGAATGCTCTGACTCGATAATTTAAGGCCTAATTCAGAAAATTCTAACTAAAAATCCGAATTTCACAGATTTTTTTGGAGCAAAATGTATGTTCTTAGAAGGTTGCACAAGTCCGTCACGATGCCCAAAATTAATAATTATTTTCAGCCATGTTTAAGGTTAAAATAAACCAAACACTCACCAAGCCGCGGCGACGACCGTCGAGAGCAATACGATAGTTCTGAACTGCATCTGAAAGCGGGGAGGTGTAATGGTTGAAGCCAGAATAACGCAAAAATCAAGGAGAAGAAGCAAAAATCGAAAGGAGCAGGGTCACACGGTTTTGAAAATATTCCCGGATGGGATGCCATTTGTGTGTGCAGACGACTGGTCATTTTTTGATCGCGCCAAGAGGCCAGCCAGCCAGCCGGCTACTGGGGATCAAGGGCGCTAGGCCGGAAAATCGACCTCCGAACCCTCGGTTGAGTGGCAAGTTGCATGGCGAAAAATTGGGCGGAACGGAAAGTTCAGTATGAGGAATAATCTTCTTCAAAGTATCCCGAGAGCTTGAAAAATAACCCGAAGAACCAGTCCTTTAAAGCTGATTATTTGTCGAAAGTAGAGTTTTGAAAATACCTATAACAGCTTTTCCAAAAACAAAAATATCAAATAAGACCCACAAAAGATATTCAATAATCAATAAATTTTTCTAATAAGCCAATAAAATATCTTGTTAAAAAATCTAACCCTGTCCAAGAAAAATATATCGAGCTTGATAAGGGAAATAAAGTAATTTTACTTTACTGGATCCCGAATCGGAATTAAGGCAAATAAGGCACGTAAGCTACGCAAAAACAAAAAACACGACAAGCAGAAGCAGGCCTTGAAAGGCCTTAGAAAAATGTTGGCAAGCCCGATGCTTGAAAACGGCCATAGACTCGAGGGCCAGGAATCGAACGGAAGATATTGCGACTTAAGTTAGCAGGTGTCTAGGTTAGCGACTAGTTTCACATATCTAGGGTATCTCAAAGATAAAGCGCTTTTTTCCTATCGAGGGGTAGCGCAATAAAAATTGAGACAAGCCCCAAAAAGCCCTTAGAAAAAATTGCATGGCCCTAGCCCTGAAAAAAAGGGCCATTCTCCTGCAGACACCCAATAATGGGTGAAGGTGTTGGAAAGTGGTGTTGGCCGTGGGTGGCAAAGTGTGGGCCTGGATGCTTCCTTCCCAATGGAAGGAAGGAGATCGATAGTCTGGACCTCTAGTCGGTGTATGAAAAGAGAGGGAAACAAGGGCCCTGGGAAAGGCAGACTAGTCGGGGCAAAAGCTCCGCTCCGCCCTCCGACCCCCTCGGGGTTAGAGCCAGTCTCACCCTTATCCGGCCGCCGCATTTCTAATAAATATTTGGGCACTTGGGGCGCTTCCGGACGCGGGGCAAATGCTGTTCCGATCGTTAAGAAGAGTGGGAAATTTTTAGGAAGAATATTGCCTGATTAGATGATTCAGACGCTAGAAAATTGGTTAAAAAACCCGCCAATAAATATTTCTGATTTCTGGATGATTTCCATTTATAGAAAAAGGTTGATCGATTAATTTAATATTTTGAAAAAATTTGGGATAACAATGAGAATTTTCTGATCAGATAGAATGAAGAACTATGATTTGTATATGATAATTTATTCTAATTAAATAGCCGCCAAAACATAAATTCCAAATTTTCCTAATTTTTAATTTAGGGTTGTTATATGGGGAAGAATATCACCTTAAAAGCTACAAAAAACCGTCGAGAATTCAGAAAGATCCGTGTGTTTCACTAGAGGCATTTGTTGATTTTCTACATTTTTCAAGGCCCGCGGAAAGGAAACTTTTTTCCCAAGACGCCAAAGCTTATTGCTTTTTTACCGGGGAAACGTCAAGAAATTTTTGTAAAAAAATTGTAACAAGAATTTTCGTTACCGAAGATAATTTGTAAGATTTTCATAAGGGCATAAATCGCTCAAAAAGCAATACGAAGCCAAACAATGGCTAAGGAATTCCAACAACCAGACGCCTGGACGCCAATTGCCAGAATTGAGCCGATCGGTCGTTGGTGATAAAATTGTTGTGTGGGTGGCGGCGCGCCGATTCGGCGGGGAAGCCGTGAGAAAGCGGGTGGTCAATGTAAAGCCCGCAGCCCGGTGGAAGGCAAGAAAATTTTTGGTAGGCAGTGGAAGCAGAATTGAGAGTGCCCACCGACGGGGGGGCAGATCGGAAAAGCAAATAGGTTGAGGAAAACTGACCTAGACGCGACGGGCCTTCACTGGAAAACCGAGCATTACTGACGCTCCTCTGCAAATAGCGGCTAAGAAATTGGCGGAAGCAACATGGTTGCGGTTTGAAATAATTAGGAAAAGTTTGAGTCTGAAGGTGTACGACGGGAGCCGCTTTTCGGCGCTGGGGACAGCGGTCAAATCGCTTAGGAAAAGCTTAGAAGATTTACTAATTTGAGAAAAGTACATTTTTAGAGAGAGAGAGAGAGAGAGAGAGAGAGAGACAGAGCGAGAGAGAGACAGAACGAGATAGAGAGAGGGAAACAGAGAGAGGGAAAAAGAGAGAGAGATGGACTCAATGATATAGAGAGAGTGGGGGAGAGCGAGATAGAGAGAGGGAAGTAGAGAGAGAGAGAGAGAGAGAGAGAGAGAGAGCCAGAGAGAACGCGATCCAAATTGACTAGGCCTGGTCGTGGCGCTTTTGCAAATTTTATAAACAACTTTTTTCACTCCCCCGCGACCCTTAACTTCCGCTCCGTTCCACCCTCAACGTTTTGAGCTGCTGCCAAATAGACCATAGTCAGTCTTTTCGTTTCCTGTCCTTTCCCTTCTTTTATATGAAGTGATCGCGCGAAAATGTGTGGCTGGCTGGGGAGAGGAACCGGTCGATAAATCCTTTCCTATCAGTTTTTGTTTTCGGAGTTCTGGGTATTTGCTATTCCGCGTAAATATGAGCTCATTTCTTGCCAATTTTCGTTCAAAGAATTTCCGCTTTTTGCCTATTCCTCTCATTTTTGGGTCCGTTGTTCGAAGTTTTCCGAAGAGGGACTTCGAAGAACCATTTTCTCCTTGAGATTTATATAAGTCATTTCCCAATTTCAAATTCATTCAATGACTCGTGACTTCCTCCAAAAAAATTCTCAAGCCGCCAATTTTCCAGGAATGCTTCGCCTCCTTCGAATATTGGTTTTTATAGCCGGGACTGCGAGCGCCTGCTTTAGCGACAAAAATCATACTTGTCTAAACGTAAAGTTGGCCCCCTTTCCATCTGAATTATGTTTTTATTCAAAGATCTACAATAAGTGCCCGTTTCCGGTGTATCCGGCTTTTACCGGAACTACCGTACCGGCGGATGGGGGCTTCCGGTTGGAGCCGTGGACCAGCAAGGTAGCTTTACGGCAAATAAGTCGGAGGCATTGAAGTTTAAACTTTTCAATAAAAAATCAGGAACTTCGTTAGCGCACTAAGCAGACGTTTTTAGGTGGTACAAGTCCCCAACGGATGGCAGGGCAAAATTTGGTCTCGAATGCAGTGTGATGAGCGCATGTTTTGCGCGACCGGGGATTGCGGGACCGGTGTAAGCTTATATAAAGTTTCTAAAAAACATTATTTAGAAGTCCGAATGCGAAGGGAAAGATGGAAAGCCGCCGTATACAATGGCTGAATTCAAGATGAATCCTGGAGGCAGTAACGGCCAGGACCGATACACGATTTCACTTGCAAATGGATACAACGTGCATATGATTATTATTCCGATCGATGGGACGTTTCGGTTTACGAAAGGTTGGTGGATATTCAGGGTATAGAATTCCTATTAAATACGCATTAATTCATTAATAAGAAAAAATTCATGTCAGTTAATTTCTTCCCCAGGGAACTACGATTGCTCGATCGGCGGTGGATGCGTAGATGACTTGATCAGCAACTGCCCAAATGAGCTGCAGGTTTTGTCGGTAAGTTCATGTTTTTTAATTCGTTAAAGTACCCTCAGGAAGGTCGATTAGTGGCTTGTAATTCACCCTGTCACGTCTTCAAATCGGATTTGCATTGTTGTAGGTAAGAGTTGCTCGATTTGCAAAGTATAGTATTTAGAGGAAAATACAACACATCATCAACATGCCCGGTATCGGCTTATGGGGCTGTTTTTAAGGTATCGAACGTCTTTTTCTACGCCAATAAGCAATTTTCGTTCGCCTTAACACCCAAAATCAATTCAGATGATGTGCCCGGCCAGCTACAGCTACCCTTTCGACACGAGCGCCCAGGCGTTCACGTGCCGGGGCAAGGAAAAACCGAGCGCCGCCTACACGGTGCAATTCTGTTGAGATGGAATGTGTCTGTAAATAGTTGACGAGCCAATAAATGGTGATTGAATTTATAAATGGCGATTTGATCCAAAAAAAAATTGGGTTTATGAAGCCCGCATAGATCGGTTGGGTTCCTGTCAAAAGATTACTCCGCCGTTTAACGTTCGAACTTTGCACATTTTTTTATTTGTCATTTTTAAGGGTTTTTAGGCTTCTTCATCATTTTTGCACAAACAAAAACGATGCTTTCGCATTATCGTTGGGGGGTAAGGGAACCTAAGCTTTTCTATGAATCTAGAAATGTCTAATGTGCGTGTGTTAGTGTTTGAATATTAATTTTAGTAAAGTTTAGCTATATTAAAGGTAGCATTCCGAAGCTTAAAACCCATATTCGTTGATTCAGAGCAGGTACAGGGTGCGGAAAAAGTTTTCGGCGGCGCACCTTTTATGAAAAAGATTTGTCAAGATGAGCGTTTCAACTACATTTTTTGTGGTGTTATTATAGATTGGGACAATTCTCATCCAATTTCACGAGCCAAAGTTTTTTAATAAGTGCTCGACTAAAATAACCGAGCTCGGAACACCGATGCGCAGATGAGTTTCGAAATTGGCCACCATTTCGCCGATGTAGAAAGCGCGGTTAAAATTTTCCGTAGCAGACTACCCGGCTTCCGAGCTTACGGATTATAAAGAACAACCCCTTAACATTATTCCACATGAATATTATTGCTTTGTCAACAGGCATGTCTGAAGTCTTAGGTGATTTGGCTGAAAGGCGGCAGCGTGCCAAGGCTTTAGAATGTTCAGCACCGCCTAAAAGCTGTTTCCAGCGTTGGTTTCAAGCATCGTTTTTCTTTTTTAGATTAAGGGGTGTCGTTTAAAAATATCCGTACGCTAAATCCCATTAGCAAAGCCGTTTTCTTCGGCTTTGATGACCACTGACAGGAGATTTCCCGTCTCTACCAAAAATTCACCAAAATTAGAAGCGTCATAACTTTTTGGAATTGAATCAAAATTGCTTGAGATTTCGTGGGAAGATAGACCACAGGTTTGGCAACATCTTTATAAAGTTTTGTGCCTTTTGGCCAAGGCTAGCTCACGGGGGGTACTGTAACATCAACGAAACAGCCGCGTGCCGGGGGCGTTTCTAAGATGATCTTTTCGCTCGTTCTAATCGGGTAAAATCTTTGAATTTGGGTAATCCAATCGTGAAATATGAGGCATAAGTCTTCACTTTCCAACCTCGAATCAAAAAAATCTGAATAACACCTCTAGGTTTCGAGTAACAGAGTTATTTGTACCGCCGAAAACTTTCTCCGCACCCTGTATATATCTAACTGAAACCCTGGCTATGGATGATAACGACACCTCCAATCGACCAACTTCGACAACAATATTTGTGGAAACGACCACCGAATATTGGGAATGCATTGAATATCCGACAGGCGAATATTTATATACCGACCCGGTTGGTGGGCGCTATGCCGGGAATTGGTTACCTATACAAGCGGATAGAAATGTTGCCACCGACCCATACGTGATTACGGCGCTCTTTATGGTATTGCCGAAAGAGATAAACATCAGCATATTTTCCTAGACCGGCCTTATTGGTCTTATCTTAACGCTGTGCTGTTTTCGCATAATCTATCATCGCAAAACGCTTCACCGCTCGATCAGGTGCTATCTGTTTTTCGACTGTTATTGTCGGTTCAACGAGGCGATTACTTTGTTTTATTTTTGTCATTGCGTGGCGACGTGGGTACCTTTTAGCAAGAAGTACACGCAGTGCAATTACACACACATGATGCGGTCCACAACATAGCGCAACGCGTCACGTTTTTCAGTTGGTGGTGCGTCAACGTGGAGAATGCCCCATTTCACGGCTTCTTCTACAACACTATAATATCCAACTTACAAATGGCCATGCCGTACGCTAGCCCGATACTGGGGAATGCACTTTCGCTTAATAGGTATGAAAGTTTCATTCTTTGAAATGAAAGTAAATTCTGCAGAGTATCTGCCATCTTCTTCGGAGGCCGTTACTTTGCCAAACTCGAACACCTGGCCCTCCCACACGCATTGCTTTCTTTCCTGCTCCCGATTGCATTTTTCGGCTTTCAAATCGGAAATAGTACGTTGGAAAAGTGATACTTAGAATGCTATTTTAGTTATGAACCCTTACACCGGGTATTGGTGTTACGCAGGGTGGTAGTTTAGCCCCCCAGGCCTATAACATGATAAGTTTTGGGGCGTGGTTTGGCAACTTGAGCACAAGCCTATTAACTTCTGCTGATCGTCTGCTCTACGGTATTTTGACAACAAATTTTTTGCTTGACGCGATGACACTGTGGAGGGTTCGGCGTTTGGTAGGTTGTGATTGTTGTCGTTTTCAACACGCCCAAAATCGATAATCACAACTCTTTTAGGCCCGAAACTCAGGAAGGAAAAAACGGGCTGACGTTCGACTTTCAATGATGGTAGAAAAATCTTGAACTATCGAAATTTATAAAATTAAAATCAAGATGATATCAACCCAAGCTGTCACCATCACATTTCTATTCGCTCACTATGTTACGAACCTCGTGGAAGATCACGCATCTATGAACACGCCGATCATGAACTTCATCATCTTAGTCCTGGTACCGTCGCTGGGGCGTCATGTTATAACGTAATTTTGCATCAATCACACATCAGTTTCGAATTCCAGACTTCTTGTCATCTGCTTTAATATGGAGACCGCGAAAAAGAAGATGTCGATGGTCACTGTGAGTGGAGTGGTGTCTTCTGGTCGACGTCGGAGTACAAAAACGACAGTGTTATAAATGCTGTTATCGAATTAACTCGCTTAGCGCGGATAAAACAATAAAACTTTGACTGTTTCAGGGTGTCCTTAAAGTGCACGTTCAGGCACGTTGAACGTATATTGCCTATTGACACCTGCGTCTCCTTCTTTTCCTAGTCTCTCGGCGTCAATAGGCAAATATACGTTCAATATAAATATACGTCCCTGAACGTGCGCTTTAAGTAAAATCGGTAACACTTTACTTCACTCCCCCCACAGCCGAAAGGTCCCAAAGTTTTCCGTATTTTCGCTTATTTTGTTGCGATTTTTGCAAAGCCATTCGATAGAGCGTCGAAAAATATACCAAGGGTTTTAATTCGAGTCTACAATAATGTATAATAAAAAATTTAGAACCAAAAACTGCCGGCTCGGGGGGTGGGGGGTAATGTAAAGTGTTGCCGTGAAATCGAGCGAAATTTGGCCAATACAAAAACCGGCTCAAGTCTAGGAAACCCCCCAGCCGGCTTTTCAACTTTTCTACCTTAATTATTTTTATTGTTCGCTACTTTTCCGACTAAACTGCAATGTAGTCTTACTAATTAGCCTACGGCGAACATTTTGATATACTTTAGAGCTCGCTAGCACAACGGGGGGCCGAGATACAAAAGTTGGTGCCGACTGGGGGTTGCTAGACTATTACCCAATAACCAATTTGCCATAAGACTACGGCTCTGCGTATCTCTCATGCGCTGAACCAAGGATCAACGAATTCATTCAAAACCACCTGCTAACCGAACCCGAGCCGACAAGCCTTGTTTTCCCCCCGCACAGCTCAATCGCATCGTTGTATAGGCTCAATTGCAATTTCTATGTTCCACCCGTCAAATGACGAGGAATTATGGATTTACGCTTCGTTTACTTTTGTCTGGTGCCTCGGAATAATCCCATTCGGCCTCACTGTCTACTTCCTCCTCCGCGGCAAGGCTCCCCTTGCGAAAGAATACAAAATTGCCCAATTGAACCTGCTGGTGAGGGCTTCGTCACAATTATGGTGCCAAGCTTCCGCCTAGATTGCTGCCGCACTGACCGACACTTTAAGCTCCACGCTGCATCCCATCGTCTACACCCCGTATCCAGCGATCAAAGCCTCTGCGCTGCCACCAGACGCAAACTTTGCCGTCCACGTGCTTGTGGTTAGTTGTTCGGGTAAATGTTCTAAATAGTTGGTCGGGGGCAAATTTTGGAATCTTTGCCATAAATTTTTATTTTACCGTTTTCCGGGCAAAAATTAAAACTCCTAGTAGATTTTTGACGCTCGTTGGAATGGCGTTAAACAAATCCGGCGAAAATGCTAAAAATGTCGAAAACTCGCGTTCCGCTCCAGGTTTCTAGGTGGAAACTACGCTTAAACCTTGTTTTTGCTATCGTGTTACCCGAAAAACTAGCGAAAATGTCGAAAATTCTGCCGCCGGAGTAGATTTTTGGGTAGCACTTTACTTTACCCCCCCCCCCACAGCCGATGGGTCTCAAAGTTTTCGGTATTTTCGCTTATTTTGTTGGGATTTTTGCAACGCCATTCGATCGAGCGTCGAAAAATATACTAAGAGTTTTAATTTAAGCTTACAATAATGTAAAATAAAAAAGTTATAGCCAAAAACTTCCGGCTGGGGGTGAAGTAAAAAGTAGCCGCGGTTTTTATCCTTTTATTAACCAATCGTTATCTTATATTAATTAGCTGATTTTTTGCGCTCGAATAACCAGAAGGCCAAATCGAATAGCACCGTCGACAGGGGCGTACGAGGGGGCAACAGGGGCAAGTTGCCCCCAAAATCGGCCGAAGGCCGAAAAGTTCATAAGGGGAGACCCTTATGATTTTTTCAATAAAAATTTTTCTGCCTGCAGCGCTGTTCATTACTGTCCTTAAGACGGTTTTTACTTCTGTGAAGCCTATTTTTCCAAAATTTTTTTGCCTGCGGCGCTGTTTTTCATTAGTGTTTCAACTGTCTATATAAAATTTTCGCCTGAGGCGCGTTTTCTGTGCTGTTTTTACATGAATTTGAGCGTTTCTAACGCTTTTTCCTAATTTTTTGCGGCCTGCGGCGCTGTTATAGCCGCGATTTTTGAATGTTTTGAAAATGGTGACCGGGGAGCTCGACAAAAAATTTTCGAGTTGCCCCCCAAAAATCGGGTTCGTGTACGCCCCTGACCGTCGATCACGGCATCTTGCAAGGCGCATTTAGCTCTGCTATGCCACGTCCGCGCTACATGTAGTCTGCTCGGTGCTGACCGTCGGCGTGTTGAGAATGGCGCACACGTCGCCACGGCACCGCCGGTTTCACAACGCCGCGAAGGCAACTGTTGTTGTGACCTACGTTAGCATGCTGCTTCTGGTGAACGCGTTTATTTGGACCTCCTGGTTCGAAGGAGCTGTGCTAATTGATCCTGGAGAGGTGAGTTCTTTTATTCTTTTTTTTGGAGGGCGAATGATTAACCGCAGCAAGGCAAACTCATCGGGGGGAAAAACCAGTCCTATGTAGGTAAAACAAATACGTCAACTACAGTCATTTATACAGGGTGTCCCAATAAAAAACAAAAGATGCATGAAAAATTACCAAGGCTGGTAAAACCTGTCAGAAACGAGAAATTTTTTTGATTAATAGGATCTGCCAAAGCTTGTCTTCCTCGCGCGTGAGCCCGGATGCGTCGAAAGTTCTTAGATTCACCTGCAACCGTTCACACATTCAGATCTGCCACATCGAGACAAACCTGTGCGGCATCGAGTTTCTCTATTTTTTTGACCAGCTTGATACAAAGTTCAATTACTTCCGGATCTTCGCAGCCTTCGCCGGCCTCTGTTTCTTATGCGAGGGGTTTGTGTGCTATGTGCACATTTCGGATTACCTGGATATGTTGACGAACCCGGCGGTCAGCGAGCGCACACGGAACATGCATCGCTATTTCTGCTTCATCTTTCTTTTACAGGTATTTTGGCGGACTCGAGAAACATTGATATTTTTTATCATAGACACTGTTTGCGGCAATTTTCATGGGAATGCCATATCTTTTATTCATTGTGGTCTGCTTAAAGTGGACCGACTGGGAGCCTGTGGTGTGGCGTAGGGTCTGAAATACGGTGGAAAACAAACACTTTAGTCGCTGGGCTGACATGCTTATGGAATGGAATTCATAGTTTGGCGAATAATCTGGTTATCTTGCTGTTCACGAAGGCATACAGGAATACCATGGGGCAATGGGTCGAAAAACTATATTCGGTAATTTTTGCATATAAAAACGTTCCGTTTCGCTGACTCCTATAGACCTCTAGTGATTTTAGTTCTCCTTTTAGAAATGCATGCGTTCTGCGCATTTGGACCCCGGCCTGCGGTTGCCGCACGATTTCAAACCGTCGAAGCGGATCAGGGACGGCGCCAGCGAAACCAAGGGCAACTTCCGGGCCACCGTCATGCCGCCAAGGGTATGATGGTCATGAGAAGCGGGCTTTATTTAAGATTTTAGACGCAGATATTTTATTAAAGGTCGTGGAAAGGTAGCGTTTCCGACAACGAATTACCACGCCATTGGGAAACGCCCCGGGAGCTGACAAGGGAACCTCAAATTGGCACGGTGGAATTTTGAAAAACGCTCGCGGCTACCCCTAGGTTTTCGGCTATGGCGATTCCAACCCTCTGGTCAGAATTTCCTTAATGGGCCTCTGGACAGAGATACAGCACTTCCGGAAAATGATGATTTGCATCCGAAAAATTAGCATTAGCGATAGGTTTATGAGGCTCTCCCATCACTATGGAATCACCAGTTGAATGGCCGAGTGGATAGCGACCCACTTGATAGGATGCTGACGAGGGTTCGAATCCGCTCACGATTTTTTTTATTTTGCTTTTTGACCGGAACTTTCCGCCCAACTCCAAGTTTTGGCCAATTTTTTTCGAAAATTCTTTCTCTTTCTAAAACGTCCAAAGTCACTAGCAAAGCCAATAAAATGCAAAAAAAACTCACACAAGTAATCATAGAGGCCCCTCAGTAAAAAAAAACTGAATGTGTTTTGAGGCTTCTTGGGAGTAATCAGCCTGGGGCCATGACCAAAAATTTTGCTTATAGTAAAAATCAAAACTTGGAGTTGGGCGGAAAGTTCCGGTCAAAAAGCAAAATAAAAAAATCGTGAGCGGATTCGAACCCTCGTCAGCATCCTATCAAGTGGGTCGCTATCCACTCGGCCATTCAACTGGTGATTCCATAGTGATGGGAGAGCCTCATAAACCTATCGCTAATGCTAATTTTTCGGATGCAAATCATCATTTTCCGGAAGTGCTGTATCTCTGTCCAGAGGCCCATTAAGGAAATTCTGACCAGAGGGTTGGAATCGCCATAGCCGAAAACCTAGGGGTAGCCGCGAGCGTTTTTCAAAATTCCACCGTGCCAACTTGAGGTTCCCTTGTGAGAGTACGAATCCGGCGCTTCCGTGAATAAACGCGTTTCTTGCTCCCGTCCCCCGTCCACGCATGAATGTATCATAAAAAACGACATGCCAGCCAGGTGCCTTGCCATCAAGCATACATATCTGAACCTGCTTCCTCCTTCGCGGAAAGGCTCCCCTTACGAAAGAATGCAAAATCGCTCAATTGAACCTGCTGGTGAAATTGAAGTATTATTCCTAACAAAAAGGTTTTTACAAAAACCTAAATTTAATAGCGAAAAGGCTAATTTTGAAATGTGTGCAGTCATCTCTAGACCATTACGCACCTAATGACGTATCATACGCAGCCTAATACCCGTCCCTTCTTGAGATATCCTCCGGACAGACGGAAGTGGATGCAAAGTGGCACACACACACACACACACACACACACACACACACACACACACACACACACACACACACACACACACACACACACACACACACACACACACACACACACACACACACACACACACACACACACACACACACACACACACACACACACACACACACGCACGCACACACACACACACGCACACGCTCACACACACACACAC